AAAATAGAATATATCAGATTTGAGAAAGATCTAGAATCTATCAACATCCCCTTGGTTGATAGTGATATTTGAAGAATAGATATTTGGAGAGTACGGGAGAAAAATAGCACTAAAATATATAGAATCGGAGTCAATAATTAACGTTTTATTGATAATGACATTTCTATAAAGATATATATATATAAATACGCAGAAACTTCCATTTTTTCTGTTCTTACATTTTCTCCTGTTAACAATGATTTACTTTACTTTTTGTCCTTTTTCTTTTTAATGCATATAAGAGAATAAAATACGCCTTTTATCTTTAATTAAAAAAAGTCCAATAAGCGTGTCTTTTAAACAAAATTCTCAGGGTGACAGTATTGCAAAAAAAAAGAAAAAATACTTGTTTAAATTGTGACACCAGAATAACACTTGTTAGTATTCTACCAACTGCACAAAAAGAAACGCAAATAATATAAACGAAGAGAATAAACATCAAAATATAAACAAGCAAAACGTAAAAGCTGAGTCATAAAAAAACTAAACAGCCGATTTCGGTGCATATCCACCATTTCGAAACCAGCGTTCATTACACGGAACTTTCAGTAAGAGACACACGTCAATGAATGCAGGAGCAGACGACGTGCCGTGTGGCAGATGAAGAACACGTGACCAGAAGTGGTCCACCGTACATACCTAATTCAAGCACAGACCAAGAGGCGTCTTCTTATCTCGATCTCACGATATTGACGCGAGATTCGAAAAACAAAAAAAAGTAAAAGAGGCCTATATCAGGCTCCTTCATAAAAAAGCGATACTTAAGGTTTAAAATACATTTAAAAAAATGAAAAATCTTTCTTGAAGCTTTTATTTTAGTTTTAATTCCAAGCTAATAGATTAAATTTAATATTTCCAAAATGCAAAATACTTTGGTGCACTTCAAACCAAATTTTAATTGGTTACGATGATTTTCTGATTATTATTAAAATCGATAAAATCGTCCATATTAACAAATCTTTCTCTTTATTAAAAAATCATTCAAAAATGAAATATACTCATGAAAATTTAGTTGAAAAAAAAAAACCCCAAAAAACTAGCTGATTTAAAATGTAATTAATTTGAATTGAAACAAATATTACTTTTGGTATAAAATATCGCAGAAAAGTATTTGTTAACACGGAGGTAGGTGTTTTTATGAGGTGTTGACACATTTATCGACAACCTGATATTTCGCTAATTTATATAAGGAGGAGATAATGGTAATAAATTACATGACAAATACAACGAAAACACTCTTTTTGTATATATATTTTTAAATACCCAGTAATAGAAAAAATTCAAAATATTTCAAACATTTTAAAATTTTGCTTTCAAAGACACTTGTTGAGGAAATGTTAAAAAAATTACCAATAAATTTTAAATTTACTACAGTTTCCACTAGTATTTTCTGACAATATCATGTATGGACGTCTGCATTTAACAAAAATTGGAACGTTTGCACGCACTCACACACACATTCGCACACAAACAGACAGCAGACAAAATATTTTTAAAGTACGAGGGGGTTCGTTGTATTGTAGTAAGCTTTTCCATTCATGATTAGTAAATATAGTTAACAATATCACTTGACTAATACAAATTAATACTTTAAATAGATTTAAAAGTTTATAAACTATTATAATTAAATTAGAAAAATGAAAACAATTCTTCTAAAAGTTCCTTATTCATCGAAAAATCTTTTTCTTTTTTTTTTTTTTTTTTTGGTAAGACAATAATATCCATAATATTAAAAACTTTTCTAATTAAATAATGCCTTAGTTTTATTGCATATTTTATTTTACGATTCAGAAGAGATTTTTTATAACTGAGCGTTCTGTTTGACAAAAAATTGATGATTTAAATTCTCCGAGGACTTGTTCTTATGTTTAATATAAACATTAAGTCCTACAAAAAAGAATTTCTCGAAATTTGCTAAAATTAAATGAGTAGGCGGTAACAGACGCAAAAAAACATTTTTGTCAAAATTTTCTAAAAAAGAAACATTTACAAAATAATTTCAATCATTTGCGAATAAATCTTGAAGGATTCATTAAAATCCGACTATTATCCCATTTTTACAAGAATTTCTACATTAATGTTTTCACCGCAAAAAGACGCTCAAATTTTATGGCCCCCGCATTAACGCTAGAAAAAAACAAGATTTAATTAAGCGATATTCTTACATTAAAAATCCTTTGATTTTCCCTTTTAATAATAACACAAAGATTTTGACGATAAAACTTTGTTTTATTAAGTTTTGGGCATTTTTTTCATTATGCAGGCTTATTTTTTAGCGAATCTTTGGGAGTACCTACACATTAGCATTTGTATCTGTAGGAATAAATTAGACACATTTTAAATGCTCACTCAAGAGCGCAGATTCGAACCAACCATGTTTATACCAAAACATTTTTAGAATATTTTTCAATGCTTCCAGTCTCTACGATCAGATTTAACTCTGCTTATGGTGGTTTCACTTCGAAAATCCGGTTCTTATACGATCACCGAAGTTAAACAACGTCGAGCCTCTTAAGTACCTAGATGGGTAACTGCTTGGGAATACCAGACGCTGTAAGCTTGGATGTGCGGGTGATGTAATGGATAACAGCCCGGAATTGGAAATGAGAGAGTCGAGTTCCAATCCCAGTTTGGTTCAGTATATTCACTTACGCGCAAATTCCATTGGGAAAGTTTTGAATCCACCTTTTCTCCTTCCCTCCACTTATAGGCTAATTAGTAGAACATAGTAAATCATTATTATCTCCCAACATTCTTACAATCTAAAAATATTTTCTTGCTTTAAATAACCTGAAAAGGGTTGATAAGCCGTAGAAAACGAAACAAGTAAGCAGATTTATTTTTGTACATATGTGCACATGCGCGTACATACTTACACATTTCAGACAAAAATCTCTTAGATCAATAAATTGTGGATACAGTAAATATCTGGCATCTGATAAAAAGATAATCTTTTTAAGGTTTAAACTGTTGGATATCTGCAATGTTTAATACTTTGACACCGAGAATCAGTCCTGCAGATTGTACTTCCATCTTTCGTGAACTCTGGTAAATCTTTTATATTTATAAAATTATTTATAATTGGAGCAGGAAGATATGTAATTTGGGCAGAGATTTAAAAGGTCAAGATGGTTATTGAGCCCTATTAAGATATTTTAATTTAATATTTTTTTTTTTTTAATATTAATAAATTCAGTATTTATTACAAATTTAACAAGAGATCTACAATGGATCTTTTTCGTAATATGTAACTGGAAAGAATGCACGCAAACAAAAGTAGAAAAAAAAAACCCAAAACCCCCAAAAAACAGATGCAAAAGACTTTAAAAAAGATCCTGACGCTGGTTATCCCAATAGTGAAAGTGAACTCGCCAGTAAGTTTCCATAAAATTTTTCTAGGATCTTTTTTTTAGTGTTAATAGCTGGACAAGGCCAAACTGCTAAATATCCCCAACTTTGACAGCGAGTATCTGTCGTCCAGATTGTACTTCCGTTCCTTCGTGAACTTTGGTAAATATTTTAGAATATTACCGTAAATATAACTGGAGCATGCTTATATATTACTCTATGTGTCTATTTTCATTTTCTGACTATGTATATGTATTCATATAGATGTTTATTTATTTGTATAATAACTTAGGGCTTTTTCTTTTTCTACTTTTCTCATTAATACTTCTAATATTTTTATAGTCATTATTATCATTATACACATTCTGATCACCCTATAGTCACAGATAATATCTTCCTGACTTGAATTTTCCCACTTTTATCATCACTTCTCTCTTATTATCATTTTCGTCATCATCATTATATATTTCGACTTCTGTTATGGTCACACTTCCTACCAAGTCTGTGGGAAAACCTAAGGCAAGTAGTGGTGTGTTGTTATGGCTACATTTCATGATTTGTTGCTCTAACTTTCATAACATCACTAGCGTTATATAGACAAAGTTCTTAGTGTGTGGGCTGTACTCATATTTAACAATACAATATTTGTATTTCTCTTAAGTTGGGATTTCCAGGGATTTTTTTCAATGTGTTGTTGTGTTCCTTTTTTTATAATTCCAAGCACACCTACTATGACTGGTACTATTCTTGTTTTCAATTTCCACATTTTTTTTTTATTTCGATTTACAGGTTTTTATACTTCAATAGTTTTTCAAATCCCTTGATTGCTATGTTGCAGTTCGTTTGGCAAGCCATATCAATTAGTAAGCAAGTTTTTATTTTCAATTTTTGATTATTATTATTATTATTATTATTATTCCCTTTAATTTCTGTTGTATACACATTTCCTTCCGATTGCAGTTCGTTTGGCAAGCCATATCAATTAGTAAGCAAGTTTTTTTATTTTCAATTTTTGATTATTATTATTATTATTATTATTATTATCATCATCATCATTCGATTTCTGCTATGGACACACTACCTACCAAGTCTGCGGAAAGACCTAAGGCAGGTCGTGGTGTGTTGTTATGGCCACATTTCGGTGAAGTTGCTAGCGTTACATAGACAAAGTTCTCCTTAGTGTGTGTGCTGTACTTAATAAGACAATTTTCTGTATGTCTCTTAAGCTGGGGTTTCAGGGATTCTTTCAATGTGTTGTTTTGTTCCATTTTTATAATTCCAAGTGCACCTATTACCACTGGTATTATTCTTGTTTTCAATTTCCACATTTTTTTTCTATTTCAATTTCAGGTCTTTGTATTTTGATAGTTTTCAAATTCCTTGGTTGCTATGTTACAATCCGCTGGACAAGCCATATCAATTAGTAGGCAAGTTTTTTTTCTTTCTGGTTTTTGACAATAATGTCCGGCCTATTTGCTTCAATTTTTCTGTCTGTGTGGATGGTATAATCCCATAGAATGGTGACATCTTCTATTTCTGTAACCTTATTATTATTATTATTATTATTATTATTATTATTATTATTATTTCCTTTGATTTCTGTTGTATACACATTTCCTTCCGGTTCGCAACTAGAGACCTAAGGTCAGAAATGGCTTCAAGTGGCATTTTCCACTGATCATTTTTTTTGTAAAAAAAAAAAAAAAATCGCACACATTTTACATAGATAAAGCTCTTCGTAATGTGTGAGCTGTACTTGCAGGTACATTCTTTTTTTTATCTTTAAGGCTTGGGCTACCAGGAATCCCTTCAATGAATTTATCGGAATTTTTTCGAATCAATCCTAGGGTTCAAACTTCAATTGGAATTATTGATGCCCTCATGTGCTACGTTTTTGAGATTTCCATTTCAAAATCCTTGTATTTTAATAGTTTCTTTCTTCAATAAGAAAGCACATTCTATTTTTGTGGTCTTTGATGTTTGGTTTTAATTGTGTTAATTGTAACCAGGTTTGGGTGGTGCTCATATCAGTTTTTGCAGTTTCCTATTCTTCTTCTTATTATTATTTAATACTCTTCACCTTATATTCTCGCATATACATTCCTATTAACACACTAACAAGAAAAAGTGAAAAAGAGTTCTCAGCCACATACCTCTCCAATTAGAGTTGGTGTCATCTGACCGGAACAAAAAAATCAAAAACGAAAAAGATTGGACAGAGGCCATAAAAATCTTTAAGAGGTGCCGCGATCAAAAGATTAAGAATTCTCGCATTGAATCCATTTATGTCCACTGGATATTAAATTCGGACGAATTCTAAAAACAATTCAATAACAAACACCGATGAAAGTTACAGAGATGGCCAAAAATTTTGTATAATATATATATATAAGCTTGCCTCTCTATTTCTCTCTCTCTCTATATATATATATCAAATCTCTTTTCTCTATATATATATATATATATATATATATATATATATATATATATATATATATATATATATATCAGGTTACAACTAGGGCCATACTTTCATAGGAATTAGCGTTGCTCGGTTTATGTAATCTAAGCATTGAGCACTTTACTAAATATTTAGTTTTTTGCCTTTAGATCTTTTTCTTTTTTTTCTTATTGCTGCTCTTATAAGAGATTTTGTCTTGTTTAGGGGTATATATATATATATATATATATATATGATTTCTGTACATATCATTGACGGTTGTGATATATTCATCTCATACTGAAATTCATAATCTTGCTTTTTATCAACTAAAATGCTAACCACCAATACAGCAATAAAAAAACTACTTATTATCTGACTGTTTCTCATCGTTATCTCTTTATCGCTGTTGTGCTATTTTACAAGGTTTGTAGTGATTTCTTTTCTAGTCATTTAAACCTCATACAAAGTTTACCGTTTTCTAAATTGACGTATTTTTCTCTTGTTTATAAGATATTTTTCTTCCAACTAAGAGGAATGGAGTTTTACGTACAAGACACTTCATATGAAATAAAATAAAATACTCTTCCGCGAATACTACCCATTGAAACAAGTCAGCACAACCTTGGTACATAATTGTGACTGTATTTAAAGAAAGATTAAAAGAATAAGAAATGTCTCTGAATCAAAATGGCTACAAATAATTTCTTGTAAAATAATATGAAAACGAATTCTAAAATTTTCTGTTCTCCTGTAGCGATTACTTTTTCTTGTTTCCATTCGCAAGTAAAGATGTTGAAAGATGATAATTAGACGCGGCTCCCATTTGTCTTGCTAAGGAAACGCGAGGACGGACGACTATGTTATCGGAATGCCATTGGTTGCGTTGTATCCTTGACAGCTGGACCATAGTTCAATTATCAACAAAATGGCTGCTGACTGAAGATAGGGGAAATCTGCTTTAAGTAGTTATCCTTACGTTACAGGATTTAACGAATGTATGATTTATTCTATATGGAATTGTTTCTGTATTTGCTTGGAGCTAAGACAAAAAGAAGAGACACAAATATTCACGCGTACTCTATCACTTAACTTTGTTTTGTCAAATCCTCTTTTAACATAGAGCATAATTTACATTATAAAAGAAAAGACATGTGTCTTTCCCCTAATTCCTTTCAGTGGTTAGCAAGCTAGCTATTAAAGATTTTATTAGCAGGATTTTTACTGAGTACACCACAGTAATGTCCTTATATAAAATGAGTTAAGTAAATATCTTCCAAAAGTTTTTATTCTCTCTCAAACAAGAAAACAAAAGAAAATCTAATTACAATTTTCTTCACAAATTTAAAAAGGTACTTTTTAAATAGTTCAATGTTTAAATTTCTTAAGTACCGTATTTCCCGTCTGCTAAAATGCAGTTTTTTCCTGAAAAATGCCCTAAAAAATCACTCCAGTCACAAGATACAAGCAATCACGAACCCCAGTCTATAATTATCATTCATATGTAATAAATACCGTATCTCCCGTATTATACCATATATATAGTTTTTTCGAGTGTTGATGATAACTAGTCGGCAGCTTCCCTACCGGTATTGTCAGTCTTCCGTTCATCTACGCATATCGTACGTAGTCGTTGATATATTCATAGAGGACTGTGCCAGTGGCGATGAAAAATCAACACAACCCTGAAACATTAGCTAGAGGTTGGATGTAAACCCACCATGTGTTGAGACTCTTTGTGACTTGTGGTGACAAGTACGAGTTATTTCT